ATCATTAAGCCGCTGCGCCACCGCGTCCCCCAGAGAAAATCTAGCAATGTCTAGAATGGGGGTTAAGCATTTCCAGCTATTGTGGAGTGAGGGATGAAAGATCCTCTCTGCAGAGATTACTGTTGGGTGACATTTTCCCCACTGTATCTTCTGTCTCTTCAGGGGTTATAAAATCATTTTCTGGGGGAGAGGAAAAATACATCAAAAGCATGAGTGAGTACATATATTGCTTCTGTCCTTTATTAATTGTTTCTTTGATCTATGCTTATTTTTAGTCTGAACTTATGTACCAAGAAAAAGGACCAGAAATCAATATCTCTGTGAACTAGATGAACCCATCAGTTGACAAGGCCAAAGATGAACATGGACAATACGTAAGAATTTTTTTTTTTTAAAGGCATAGCATATGAGGAAGTTTAGATGAAGAGAGAATAAAATGTTTACTATGAGTGTGAAAGCTAATCAATCGTGGGACTATTCAGTGCGGAAGGAGCTTGATCCTTAAGAGTTCCCATTTCTTGCTATTGCATAAAGAGACTGAAAGTGAGGAAAAATACACATGAAGGGATAAAACTGGCAGCCTCAAAAAATCTGGCTTTATTAGGATAGCAAGGATCTGTATTTTACTATTTCTCACATACGTTTTGCCAGTTCACTCTTATACAAATAGATGCTGTTGCCATTGGCAATACTGTACCACTGTGACTGAGGACAGAACATCTAAGCTCCCTGTCCATGGCACTTGGTGACTTAGCCATAGTGACAATTCCAAGGCAGATACAGCCCATGTGTACACAGACACACATCACTGACTAGACTTCTATTTCTGCCCTGAGGGACAAGGAACATCACTATTTTATTTTTCCCCTGTACATGAACAAGCAATTGCAGCTAAACAATTCCTGATGATTCCCTCGCCTTTCTGAGGCTTGGATATATTTGTATCTCATAAAAATTGCTCAGTAGGCTGAACATTTGTCTTTCACTGTCCACTGATATTAGTTGCTGTTATAGGAACAGAACAATAAATTAAGCAAGCACAGCAAAAGAGAACTTAGAGGACATGTAGAAGAAATTCAGATATTACACAAAGTTGGTTCTTCTTACAGATGCTTTCATCTTGTGGGTATTAACCTAATCTATTTGTAAACTTCCTTGAAAGACCTTTGATCTGGAAGTCATCTTGTAATTACCGAAGATGATGATAATGATAGCATGCACGTGCATTCTCTTGGTTACACTGTACATTTAGTATTAAATTACTTCCAGGAAATCATATCCAACTGCATATTAGTTCCCTGACAATTATTTTGGATTATATTTTTCACTGTCAGTTGGTTCACAGCATACATCATAAATACAGAATATTGATATGCAGTTCGGAGTTTATATACAGAATATAAACAACAATAATTGAATGTGCAATGAAAATGATCAAATCACTTTTCTTCTTTGTATATGAAGCCTCAAGCTTTTGCCTTTAAGTTGTTCTTATAGGTAATAGCCTGCATTTGGAGGAGGGGGGAAGCATTTTCCGATATTTTCATTTATAGAATATATGATGGGTCTCATAAAGATGAAAAGCAGAATTAAGTGTTCCAAGGAATTTAAGTATAAAGGAGAAAAATACTTAGGCATTCTGTGGCATTGCTTGCACATTCAGCTAAGTATGGTTTAGTTAAGTATGGGTTATTATATCAATTGTCATTTATTTTGGATTATCATATAGCCTGAGTTAACCTGCTGATGAACAGAATTCATACAACAGATTAACTCAACATCAGTGTATGAATCCAGCCTGTATCTCTACGTATGACTCTCAGATGTATTTTGCTGTGCTATAGACACCCATATTGGATATACTTTTCAAATTCCATTAAGCACCATAAAATCTAGAAAATCACAATATGTGACATCACCTTTTATTTATTAATAAAATTGTTGTCATTTCTCTATTGCCTGCAACATTTAAAACTCCCTAAAGTTATGCTAAATAAAATATGTCCAAAGAAGTATTGTTGTAACATTTACTTATTCATTTCTTTGTATATTTTGAATTTTAGTTCTTCCTAGTATTGTTAGTATTTTTTTTCCTTATTGGAGAAATTCATAGCGATTATCGGAGATGCTTGTTCTGTCCCCTCAGAAATTTGTTCACTTAAAGTGTTAATTTTGATTTCTCAGAAAAGCTCTTCATCTCTGGATGATGTATGCAAGGAATAGGTTTCTTGCAGTAAGTAAGGAGGGGATGTGTAAAGATATGGTTGGATTCCATTTTGCAGTATATGAAAAACGACAGTTTGCAAAAACAAAACTGAAATGTGAAAGCTCTCTTGAATCTTCTTACAAAAACATGTTGATGGTGCTTACTTTAATGAATAATTATAATACATTAAATCCAGTTCTTTTATTCTTCAAAACCCATCTCTAATGAATATTGCAAGAAACAAAAAACATCATTTTGATACCCAGAATCATTCTTTTAGCAACAGGCTCCTGAAAACCTTAATTGTAGGATTATATTTATATTCTAAAAAAAATCTAAAAGACCCTTGTGAATAATCTAAGAGGGCGTGAAGAAGATACAATGACTCTGTGATCAGTATATTGATGGTAATAGCAAAACTGGGAAGAAGCTAACTACTGGTGAAATCCTTAAATAATGGAATGGAAGTGGCTGTTGAGTCTGATCTCCATTTCTCAGTACAGGAATACAAATTAAATCATCCTCAGCAGTGGACTAGCAAGACTTCACTTGAATGATATGTATGTATGTATGTATGTATGTAGTGAAAGAAAGCCCACCTTGCTGTCATTGATTTTACTGTCAAATTACTCTTGCTGTTAGGAAGGTGTTTTTGGTTTTGTTGTTTAATATTCAGTTTGAATCTGCCTTCCTATAACGTAAATCCATTATTCTTTGTTCTGTTCTCTGGGGTGATAGAGGACAGATGCTTCAGTCCCTGCCTGAAGTCATGCTTTTCAAAGGCTAAATATTGCTTGATTCTTCAGATGCTTCACAGGACAGTTCCTGAATATTGCCCTGTTCAACAAAGCAAAGGTAGATGCGTTTTTGGGACACCCTTGCCTTTTGCATTATCCATCATTATCCCTTGCCATTTCATTTCATTTCATTTCATTTCATTTCATTTCATTTCATGTTAGCAGTGGGATCTCAGTTGTTCCTGCCTCTTCTGAATCCAGCTTGTACATCTGGCACATGTTCCACACACTGCTGAAGTCTGATTTGCAAAATCTTGAGCATTGCCTTAGTAGCATGTGGGACAAGTGCAAAAATGTTTAAGTAGTTTGAACATTTTTTAGCATTCGGTGTTTTGGGACTGAAATATTAGATTTTTTCCAGTCCCTTCAGCCCTGCTATTTTTCATATCTGCTTACAAATTGCATAACTGCATTAACTTCACATTGGACTCTAATTCAGTGATTATGCCTTCATATATATATATATAATCACATTTCTGAAAAAATGTACAATTCTGTATATTTTCTCTGTGGACTTCTCATGAAGGAATAGTTCTTTTAAAAAATCAAGAAGATATTAAGTAGAATATATATGCTAAACTTGATTTGGATTTGCAGCTAGGGGATTAAGTTGATGGATGTATAATAGTAAAAACCCGTATGAGAGCTGTCCATTAGGAGTCCAGGATACTGTCACTGGTTAATCTTGAAAAAGCTAAGCTGGTTGGACCTTGTTAATATTTAGATGGGAGCCCCCCCACCAAAAAAATTGCAGGATAGTAGATTAGACAGGGAAGTTGAAAAAAAGATCCTGATGGAAAAAAATATTTTTGCTAGAAATTTACATGGGCAGAAAATTAATTGTCAGGGAATAGTGCATTTAATTTTTTTTTAAATCCTGTAATTTACAGTGTTCTTGACTATTATATAAACTCTGTAATCAAGATTGAACACATCAAAGGGCTTAAATAAATATTTATGGCCCAACTATTATGCTTTTAACTTGCTTAAATTGGAGCTTGATCAATTCTATACTTTACTTATTAAATACTTGTTAAAGTTTAAGCAGATCTACTGGGAATGGAAAATATGTGTTAAATTATTGGCTTCTTGTGTGAAACTGAATCAAAGTAAGATAATGCTACAAGAGATTCTCTGAGGATAATCCATACTGATTATAATAAAATTAACTTCCAATTCATGAAGCTTTATAAAAGTTTGTTTTCTGTAAATGTAGAATAGCTATTAAGCAGAAGGATCTTTTTAAAAAAAATATATTTCAGAAATCTTGGTTGCCTATTCAAGAAATTTAGCCACGTCCTTTACTTTACAGAAAATATTTGACATTGAAACAATGCAATATGGAAAGGCCCCTGCACTGGATGAAATTCTCATACAGGGGTATAAAAAATTAGGAAGAGCTTATCTTCTATCTTGTTAGAGATTCATCATCATCATCATCATCATCATCATCATCATCATCATCACCATCATCATCATATTAAACTTGTATGCCACCCAACTCTCAATGACTTGGGACGGTTCACAACAAAGAAATTAAAATCAATAAAACATAAAGAAATATTTTGTAAATGGGAACCACTTTGCATCATATTATGACACATAAATTACCATATTTTGAAACCAGAAAATGGCTCTATGAATTGTTGTAAATTAGCATCAAATGTTTTTGTTAAATGTCAGTACCAAAATTTTAACAGTACGTTGGTATGTAGATTACAGAAGGTCTTATCCTCAATAATTCATGCACCCAAATATGGTTTATGACAGGGTTTCAAGCCTCCAATAATATTAGAATCTTGGTTGATGTATTAGCATTGTATGTTGATAAAATAAATGAAGCTGTTTCACCATCACTGGATGTGAATGATACCATTGATATGGTGTGAATCAAGTTTCTAGATTGAATTATGCTCCTACACAAGGCTTGGGACCTGGATATCTTCAGTAACCCCTACTAGTTAGTGCAGTAAGATCTGAAAAAGGAGGCTCTCTTCAGATCCCAACTTTAAGAGAATGTCATCTGCTGTGATCTGTGGATAAGTGTATCATTATCCACAAACTGACTATATTATTGGTACATGGGGGTGGAAGAGTTCAGTTATAACAGCAAAAACATAGCTAGGGACTGAGTGTGGAGCAGATCATGAACTGCTCATGTGCAAGCTCCAAGCCAAGCTAAAGCAGAAGAACAAAGCCAACCACTTTCCATGATATGATCTTAAGCATATACTCACCATTTTCATGGAGAACATCAGGAATCACTATAAAGTCCCGAACTGCATTGGTAGGGAACCAGAGGAACTGTGGAATGAAATTAAAGAAG